TTAACACTATAACGCGGCTTTTTGCTGCGCCGTCGGGATGTTTTGAGGGGAGGGGGGTAATTAAAACACAGGAGGAGGAAGAGGAGGAACCCCCACCTTCCTGCACCGTTCATTAGTGAAAGTGACATTGATGCAGACAGGCAGCCTAAAAAGGCAGCTAACCGCTCCCTTGTCTGGCAGCCCCCGCCGCTGGTTTCCGTAGCAACGGCAGGGGTGCAGCGGCACAGGCGGGCGGGAGAAAGAGGGAGGGAGGAGGAGAGAAACAAACAGGGAGGAGGGGCGGCTGGTGGGAAGCATGCAGGGCCGCCGAGCGACAGGCGATTTGGTGGGAGGAGGCGGCAGTGGTGGGAATAGCCAATATGTAAAAAAGAGCGAGGCTGCGACGAAGCGAAGCGGGGACGCGGCGGCGGAAAGAGGGTGGCAGGGAGGGACGGAGACGCTGCAAAAGAAGAGGAGGTGGGGGAAGGGCGCTTGCCCCGAAGCCGACAGCAGCGTCTTCCCAAGGGGGCGCGCGCGTTCTCAGCTCTTGACCGGGCGGCCGCTCTTCCTTTCGAAAAGAGTCTCTGCCGGCAGCGGCAGCGGCAGCGGCGCCCCCATGGTTCAAAATGGCTTCTCCACACTACCCTCACCACCCTTTTTTTTCTTTTAAAAAAAGTTTCCTCCCGGCAAAGGGCGGCCAAGGCAGCCGCCGTGACTTTCGGAGCGGTCGCGCCTTTGCTTGAGCTGGTGTCGAGGCGCGCTTGGCGCCTATAGCGGCATCCCTCAGGGGGACGCGAGCGAAAGCCAGGGTGAAGGGCAGGCTGGGTTGTTGTTTTTCTGCAATTCTTTCCGGAGAAGCCCTTGGCACAGGATGCGTAGCCGATCGGAAACCGTAGAAGCAGCCGAGCAAATCTCATGTTCAATTGGTGGTGGTGGGGGGGAGGGGGCAAGGCCACTTCTTCCTAGGAAAGCAAAAACCGAACCTCCTCTTCCCGCCACCGGGCTTTGCGCCTGAGACAAAGGAGGAAAGGGCGATTAGGACTGGAAACCGTGGAGGCCGAGGGGCTTTTTACTGCAGGCTCTGCAGTAGGCTCCCCTGCGCGCCTCTGTCGAGGTCTCCTTTTTTTTGCCACCCTTGTCGTCGTCCTCCTGTTCTCTCAGTGTCCCCCTTCCCCCCTAATCAAGCTGTGCCTCCCATTTGGCAGTTGATACCCAGTGATACCTGCATCCCTTTACTTGGTCTGTTAGGGGTTCTTTAAATGTTAAGGTTGGATCGATTTGAGTGACATGAGAATTGTGTCAGGGGTGACATGATAGCAGTGTTCCAATATTTGAGGGGCTGTCCCAGATTGTGGGGTCAACCTGTTTTTCCAAAGCAAGCGAAGGCCAGACAAGGAACAATGGGTGGCACCTGATCCAAGGAGAGATTAAACCTAGAAATTAAAGAGAATCTTTTTGAGAGTGAAAACAACCAGTGGAACGGCTTGCCTTCAGAAGTTGTGGGAGCTTCATCACTGGAGGATTTTAAATAAGAGATTGGACAGCCACAGCGTCTCTTTGAGCAGAGGTTGGACTAGATGACCTACAAAGTTCCTCCCAACTCTTACTCTGTATTCTGTACTCACTCACCCTGAATCTGACTGGACTAATCATTATGGTTTATGGTTTTATTATTTATAGGCCGCCCTTTTCCCTGAGGGGACTCAGGGCGGCTTACAATATATAGGGAG